TGTATAAATATATATATATATAGATAGATGAAGGAGAGGTATATATATAAATAAAATAAATAAAAGTGCTGATGTGATTTGAAACCTCGTGTTCAAGAGTACAATGAGGCAATTCGCAGTCAATCTTCTGATAAGTTCAACCAAGAAATGTCTTCATGACTCAAGCTGATAGCAAATAGAAGTCGGCTGCTGCATAGAATCCTTACTTGATAAGCCGCTTGGACCACGTGAAGGCCTAATCCCAGAGTGCTCATAATGACAACAGGAAGGGTAGCTACACACAACATATTTTTATATCATTAATTTTTTTTGGAAAAGCGGGTCTCATCTGAAAATGAAAGAGTTAGGCCGACCGATTTGTATGAATAGATCCTTGACATTGCGTCTTCAAACTCCGATAGAATCTGTTATGTATGAGACATATTCAAGCATTTACAAATATGATATGATACGATATGCTATGATATAATATCATACATTATGATATGATATGCTTTGTTATTATATGATAGTGGTTGATAGGCTCATTTAAGTCCGGTTTAAGCATACATACAGAAAAATGCCAAAATATCCTTGAAATCCGATTCAGTGAAGACATTTTTTCATCTTCAACTTGTGAATTTGGGCCTACACGACGGTAAGCAAGAACATGAGATAAAGTACAACTATGCAACCGAGACCGGAAAGCAGAGCAGTAATGATACTACTTTGTCAACCACCCGAACCACTATTTCATCCCTTTTACTGACACCAGAGAAATGCTAGCATATGTACTGCTTAAAATGTCCTGCAAGTTTTCTGTATCATGTACCGCATGTGAGTTATGGTCCTGACGCCTCAGGAACCGAGTTGGGGGTCTGTTCGGATATTGATGCAAACTTATTCAATGTCCTACAGTTTGAAATTACTGCTACCCTTTAACAATACAACATTTTTACTGTCACTACTAAGAAAGGTAAAATTCATATTTAATCTTCTTCGTCTTGATGTACCTCATGTTCTTTTACTCATGCATTCTGAGCGCTTTTTATTAAGTCTGATGCGTTTTCACGTCATTACCTTATAAATTAATAATACTAAGCAGTTATACTAAATTATAATATAATAATAAATGACTAAAAATTTGAGGAAGATATTTTCATCTTATGCGTGTGTCTGTGAATGTGCATGTGTTGGAGTGAAGTGAGTGTAGTCAAACTGGGTTTCGAAGAATCTCTTAATAGATCGAGGTTGGAGTACCTTTCATTTCGCTTGAAGAGGCGAGGCCACTTAACTTAACTTATGAGCAAATATGGTGACATTCAAGCAAAACATGAGATGCACAAGTGGGCCAAGTTGGAATTTAAGAAGGAAGTAGGTTTGAAGCCGGCCACCTCTCTTGCCTTCCTGTTGCTCGTGAATTATCGTCAAGTGTGTTGTCCTGCTCTGACGATGTCCGTCACATGACGCAGGACGGTGTGCCGAGGACCTATTCACACAAATCTACAACCACAACCTCGGGTGCAACCAACTTACCAATGCCTTCCATTCGCCTCTTCAAACGAAATGAAAGATATCCCAACAATCAAAGGCATTGTGTGAGGACTATGTACCTTGGTGTGATTTTTGCTATCGTAAAACATCGACATTCGGTCATCAGTTTGTCGACTGTCGAGCCCTCCAGGCACCGAGGTCTGTTCAGGACCTGTGCTGTTTTCATCATCATAAATCTCATCTTCAGTCAAAATGTCATTTCTCATGAGTTTCTTGTCAGATGTGAAGGGCTTTTCAGTCTGCCGGTACCGTTGCGAGGCCGCCATCTGGGATTGCTTGCCGGCGCCCCGTGCAGTTCGGTCATCAGGTAGACCGGCCGATCTACCGGCGTGGTCTCGGAGGGTTTGGTTTTGTGATTGCAGATGCCGGGGCAGACCACGTGGAGGAGGCATCAGCTCCTCGTCGCTCAGGACCCTCGAAGTGGGACCCTTTACGGACTCGAATCGTCCTACAGCTGAGGACAAGCCGAGCAAAAGGGAGGAGGGAAAAAGGCAATATGGGAATAAAAAATGGTAGATGTTACTCTCTGCTCTAATTACTTTAACCTGTCAATGTTGCTTTCGTCCATGCATATATGCATCAAGGCAACAAGCACATATAAACACTTTATATCTAATTATATTGTATATGTGAATACAGCACGTAGGGATATATATGTGTGTGCGACAGCATAAATGTTGAGGAAAAAGAAAATGAAAATTTGAGTGCATATGATATCACTGATTTACTGGTAGTCTCGAAAATCTACTTAGAAACGAAAAACAACTAATATAGTACATTATAACAGCATATATCATCTCGCGTCATCCAAAAACCCATCAAAGAATGTGAATTGGGAAAATGCTGGGCCTAAACTGAAATTCACAATTATCATGTGATCCAAGAGAATTTGTGGTAATTTGGAGTAGTGGTTAAAGTGTCAAGATTAGAGGCCGCAGGGTAATGATTCGAGTCCCGATAGGGCTGGTGAGAAAATCTGGGCGAAATCGAAACTGCAGTCAAATTAAGCTTGGATGAAAAAATATTTTCGGAAAGCAAGCAGCTCCACTCATATAATTATGGGAAAATTAAAATAAGAGTCCTTCCAGAACTTGAAAAATTGAGTGAAAACAGCTAATATAATTGAT